GAGTAGCTGGGACTAGAGACGCCCACCACCAAGCCCAGCTAATTTTTGTATTTTTAGTAGATATGGGTTTTCACCATGTAGGTCATGCTGTCTCAAACTCCTGACCTCAGGTGATCCTCTGCCTCAGCCTCTCACAGTGCTGGGATTACAGGCATGAGCCACCGCACCCAGTCTGGATTTCTTAACTAATAAGTAGGCTGCTTGATAACATACTTTTAAAACTGATTTTTCATCTCCTTTGACCAGTTATCCAATAGACTAATGGTGTTAATTATGTATTTGTAAGAATACAGTTTACATATTGGATAGAAAGTTTTTAAGGAGTCTATTTTTCCTTATACCTTCTTAAATAGCCTTGGGTCTTCTTGCTCACTAATTCCTCCTTTCCTCTAATTTTCTAACTTACATCTTCTGTAACAACTTCTTATCTGAAAATTCTACTGCCAGCACATATTATAGTATAAGTATCTGTGGTTTTATAGAACACCCTTATCTTGTTAATATTATAGTAGTAGTAATAGTAAGTAATAATAGCAGCTTTCAAATACTGAGTGCTTCCAGGTGCTAAATCTCATTTCATCCTCACTGTGGCCCAATAAGATGTCCTCATTTTACGGATAAAGAAATAGTCTCAGACAAATTTATCAACTTGCCCAAAGACACGCTTAACAAAAGGAAGACCTGTCAAATTCCAAAGCCCATGTTCTTCATTATTAGACTGTCTGGCCTTCATTTAAGCATTAAGTCAACTCTCCGTGTGTAAAACAAAAAGTTCTTTATTGTGTTAAGAAAGAAAACTTCCAGCCAGGCACGGTGGTTCACGCCTGCAATCCCAGCACTTTGGGAGGCTGAGGCGGGCGGGTCACGAGGTCAGGAAATGAGACCATCCTGGCCAACATGGTGAAACCCATCTTTTCTAAAAATACAAAAAATTAGCTGGGCAGGTGGCGCGCCCCTGTATTCCCAGCTGGTTGGAAGGCCGAGGCAGGAGGATCACTTGAACCCGGGAGGCGGATGTTGCAGTGAGCTGAGATTGTGCCATTGCACTCCAGCCTGACAGGGCAAGACAGGAAGGAAGGAGGGAAGGAGAGAAGGAAGGAGGGAAGGAGGGAGGGAGGGAAGGAAGGAGAGAAGAGAAAAGAAAGAAAGCTTCCACAC